TCTCCTCTCTTCACTGCTTCCTTCGTTCTTCATCTTGCATTCTGGGTCTGTATTTTGAGAGTTTGAAAATACAGCCTGGTTCACTGGACAAACATTACGCTATGCTGCATCTGTTTGGGGTGATTGTTGTATCCTAGAGGAAGAACGTTCATTATTCTCGAGCACCGTAGGAGAGGACGAATTTTTATCTTAAAACGCAGTGTTCAAACACTGGCCTCAATCACAAATTTGTTCTAAGTTTGATTCTACAAAAAGTTGTAATTTATCTCTTGTTCTGTGTTTAATTATTTATTGTAATTTAATTATTCTGTTAATTTAATTTTTTATTGAAAAATATTTCCAACAAGTCCATCGCCAATCCACTTTGTTAGTTCCAAGGTTTAGTCTATCCACTCGTCAATCCACTTGACCTGCTTAATCCAAATCTATCCACTAAGCGGACGAATATCGATTGATTTTTTTAATTTGTCTAAGTTCAAATGGATGGTAGATGAGAGGCCACCAAATCCAATTCAATTCGTAAGCACTAGTAATAGGTCCCCTCTGTGGCCCACCTTTGTATTCACATTTATGATTTGAATTCATCTATCAACAACTACGCACAAAAATTAATCATATGATTGAGTTATATTTATTTTAAAACAATAACTAATTTATATCCATAATAATATTAACCATTAAAAAATTCACTATCTATTGTGCACTACTCAAGTGGTAAGTGTATTTTTTATTAGGTTTAAGGTCGTTCAAGTTCCACTTACTTAGGACAGAGAGAAGCAAAATGACACCAAATTTAACTTTTACTTTACATAATAAATATGTTTAACTTTTACTTTTCATAATAAATATATATAGTATATTACATATATTGAATAAGATAGGGATATTAGGGGTGTTTGCGTATTAGGTTAGGTCGGATAGCCTCCCATCTGCCATTCATTCAAATTTAAGCAGATTGGAAAAAATCAATCTGCATCCACCTCTTACTTAGCAAATGCAGATTGAGCAAGCCGTGTGAGTTAACAGGTGGATGGAAATTGATTTGGCGGATTGTACTTTACTATTTTAATAATTTAAAAACTATTTTAGAGTTTTTTTTAGGGAAAATTACACTGGTAATCCCTACATTTTGCTTTTGATGTCATTTTGGTCCCTATTGATAAAGTCAATTTGGTCTAATTGATAAAGTCATTAAGATTTTTAACGAAAATCGATCATTGAATTGGTTGAGGTTAACTTACTAAGTTGAAAAAGTTCATAATTTTGCCCCTAAAAACATGTTGCATGTCACTTATTTGAGTATTTTTTATAAGAAAATGATAACAATTGTAATCAGTTAGACTAAATTGAGACAAAATCATAAATTCAGATTCAAAATTGGGCCAATTGGAATTAGAAGGACCAAAATGACATAGTGACCAAAATATAGGGACTATCGGCAAATTTTTTTACTATTTTGGACTTTATTTGAGTCCAAAATTTGTTATTCTTTATTTTTTATAATAAAAATAAGGCTCACTCTTATATTTCATGAATAGCTAATATGAGTTTTGTTTTGTTTTATTTTATTTTTTGTTTTGGGCTTTTTTTTTTTTTCTGAATATTTCAAAAGATAAGATTATTTATGAAAATAAATTACTTTTGAAATTTTTTATCAAACTAACATTTTTCTCTGAAATCGCACTTGAAATCTCAACTTCAACTTGCGATTTCATACTGACATGTAATGATGTACCAACATGGCGCAAAGAAATCGCAAGCTGAAGATGCGATTTCAAAATCACATCTTAAAAACCTGATTTTGTAGTGAAATTAGATTTTAAAGGTACAATTTCATATCCAGATTTTGAAGGACTTGTGGGAAAAAAATTCATTATAAATAACTTTGTTCGTAATCACATAAAAATTGAGTAATTATGTTGCAAATGTAATTCAATTATATAGAAAATTTTCTTCTTCTAAATGCAAAATTTTAGGTATCCTATGTACATAACTGAAAGTACCCTTTTATATTTAGACAAAATATACAATAAATAGTGTTCTTAACAATCAAACAAACTGCAATTGCCAGATTAAAAACAGTAAATTTGATAAATTGTAGCATTTTGCCGAAAATTTTCTGGACAACATATTTACTTTTTTTTTTTCCACATGTTCAGCACTAGAAATAGGTGCAAATGAAAGTTGTGATACGTGGTTTAACAATCAATTATCAGCAAAGCAAGTGATTGAATCAAAGATCAATAATGTTTGTATGAATGGAAAAGAAAAGAGTACCTGAAAGCGATTAGAGGATTGTTTGTGTTTGATCTCGGATTGCAAGGCCTTAAGAAGATCGAAATCAAAAGTGGGATTGCAAGGCCTTGAGAAGGTCGGCGTGGAGGAAAACGGTGGTGGAGTTGGTTCGGTTCACCGTGAGAAGCTAGAGATAGATTTCAAATAGGGATTAGGGATTTGAGACTTAGGCAATTGAAATCGCATGTTCAATATGCAATTTCAAAATCCCATCTTAAACATGTGATTTCAAAATCGCATTTCAAAGATACGATTTTTTATGTCATGTCAGCAATAGCTAAGGGAAACTTGTCAGCATGAAATCGCATGTTGAACTTACGATTTCCAGATGAAATCGCAAGTTCAACATGCGATTTCACAAAACCGGCTAGTTTGCTAAATACTTTCAAAAGTGCGTTATTTTCGTAATTAGCTTCATTTTTTGTAATATTTAGGGGGGGGGGGGAAAACATAATGTAATGAAAATGATCACAATCCTGCTTTCGTCACCTCTGCTTTGATACACTTCTTATGATAATGAACCAAAAAAAATAAAAAAAACTAAACATCAACTTTAAATCCTTAGCTTCATTTTTTGTAATATTTAGGGGGGAACCACTAGCTAATATTATTATTAAATAAAATACCTTTTTTTTTTTACATACAAATTATAAAAACATAATACCATTTTTTTAAAGGGAGTTGGCAGATCGAATTAGATTGAATAAATTTCCATCCGGAGATAAAAAATTTAAAAACTATCTACCTGCAGCCATCTGCCTATATTGTTATAACAGCTTAAAAGCAAGTAGATTAAATAAAATTGGTCAGTTTTAACGGATTGACCGGGTTCGTCAACACCCCCTAAGGGGCATAGCCGTCTTGCTGTTCCTGAGGCACACCAAGGTCTGCAAGCTCCCGACATTCCACCTAACGGTCACGGATGTGATTTTATTATGGATTGATACAGCCCACTAAATTATTATCCAATAGTATTTATCAGTCCTATTTTTACTAAGGTCCTGTTTATTTGCCGGACTAATGTGTTTTGGGATGGCTTATTTTCTTTTGTTGTTTTTTTGATAGTGTATTTGGCAATTGCTTAGCTAGAAGCTTTTTTGCTTTTTTGAAGTACAATAAAATTCCTCTTTTACTCTAATTTTTTTTTTTTTTTTTGCTTTTTGCTTGTTTAGCAACTTTTCAAATATCCAAATTAGATGTGATTATTAGTACTATGGTAAAATTGAGTAAGAGAATTACTAATGTGTTGTTCTTAAATTAGAGATGTAACAAAAAATTGTATTTGTTTGTGTACTAGTGTGAGATATTAGTTTTTGGGATTGAATCTATAAAATTATATAAAAATTATCATTACGTAAAAGATGACTTTATTATTTTTGTAAAATTAAGGACAATAAGATCATTTCATCTCTAGTCCTCCAATCCCATGAAATTAGATTAGTAAACCGATGTCCTCCCATGAGATTGCTACTTCCGTCCTTACCGAGTTTCATTCATAGTCCATGATTGCAACCTAATTTTTAAAAATAAACATGATGTTTGTAGATCCTACTCGGCCATTAGGATCATTGTACATGTCAATGCTTTCTATCAAATTACTCAGGCAGCTATTGCTGCTGCAAATAAGTTGACTTTATTTTCCTTAAAAAATAACACAAAACTCAATTTTAAATTCTTCAATAATTAGTTAAATTTTGTATTATATTTAAATTATTATATAACAATTAACTATAACAATTTTATCATAATTAAAGAGAAAAATAGGGTAACTAAGGTACATATGGTATGGAAGTATGTATAATAGAATTCTCCAATAATTGTGTCATTCTTTATTTTTGAATTACTAAATAAATATGAATCAACATGTTTTAGATAAATAATTCATTCACACAATTTTTTCTGACTCTTTCCGGTAAGACTCTCATTCGGAGACATTCGAGGGGAAAAATTGTTTGAATGTAGCTGCTTTTTTTTTTTATATATTTTTTATATTTTTCTGGCTCATTAGTTTGGGGCAATATGTAAATAATTTATTGAATAATTACACAAATAGAATAAATGAAATTGGGAGCATTGACATACAAAATTTAGACAATTCATGGGGTTAGAATTAGTCTTGCTGAGAATTGGTAATCGATTATCGTTATCAAGACTATTCAATATGGACTAATAAACATTCATGCATGCACCACCAGATTCCAAATTCAATTAGACTTTAACTCCGCACACATCAATAATACTGTTCCTCCAAATGACTGAGTCAGCTAACATCAATGAGAGGATCACCGCTAATTGGATGTTTTTTACATCCAAAATAATAAGAAAGTTATATTTTTTAGACCAATTTTCCTAATTTAGTAATGTGCAAAAGAGATGATTGGCGGATAATCAGATAGTACATAAAAAAAAAAAGAATTGTTTTTAATAGACTGCTATATCATTGATTTTGAAAAATATGTCTAATTTTTTAGTTAGAATAGCCGTACAAATAAAAGTTTCTCTATCTTGTAAAGGAAGTAAATGTAGACAAAATAGAACAAATCAAAAAAACATAAGAAAATTCTATTAGCATATACAAAAAATCTCAATATATATTATTTATATTGCTCAAACATAAATTTCATAACAAAAGTCAAGTAAAAGAGAGGGTGCTAAACAAACAGAGTAGTCTTGCAAAATGAAGGAGCAAATCCATATATATATATATATTACTATTTCAAAAGCAATCTCTCTACAACCAACAAAAGCAAAAGTGGGGAGAGGCCTGCTCCAAGCTAAGAAAACTGTTTTAAAGTTTTTTTTTCCCCCTTCTCTGAGGTAGGCATCTGTATTATTCAATTGATCCAATTCTGGTATTTGTATACCATTTGCGTGACATCTTCGTGGGTTTGATTTGGTTTTGGTTTTATTGCATGATCTCTCTAGTTCTATCATTTTTTCGTTTCTGACAACTTTTCGCACCATCGTAAGAGCATGATTTGCCTTTTGAAGTTGTATGCTTTGGTTAGTGTTTGGAATCATGAACAATCTCTTTTCGGATAAGTTTTGAGAATTAAAAAAAAAAAAAAAACTAGTTTGGTAAAAGGAATTTTTTTTTTAAAAAAATAACTCATTATTTTCATATAATTTTCTCTTTTTTGGGATGAAAATAATTTTTAAAAATTCAAAAATAATTGTTTTGTGTATATATTTGTCAAAACCAGTATGTAATTTTTTGAAAAAAATTCACAAACAGATTATGAAAACTCAACCAAACAGTCTCTAAGCATCAATTTTACCTTTAAATATTTTATATTATGTCAATTTAATCTAATTAATAAGATCTCTATAGAAATTTGATTGAAATTAATCAATATATATAGACTCTTTTAATGGACTTAAGGCTTGGTTTGATTATATAAACTCTTTTAAAAGTCATTGAGAAATTGATGCCTAATTTAAATGGATATTTTATTTAATTTTTTTTTTCTAATTTATCAGCGAAGGTTTATCTACTGAACTAAATCAACACAATATAAAATATTATAGGGAAAAATTAACACAATAGGAACTGCAAGACTAATTGATACAACCGGCAAAGTTAATTTGATATTTTAATTTTTTATTATGGTGATTACCATCCCCATACAGTTGTTAGACTAGTTGCAGATCACTCCAATAAGCTATGTTGTCCATTTTGCACTGATCTACTTTAATCGATTCTGAATACCTTTTCTTCGTGATTGCCTAGAAATGTTTCACAATTGACAATTATATATGAATTTTGAATACAGAAAACCTTTATTCCAAGAGGCAAGCTAGCCATGGCTTCCTCGCAAGGAATGCAGTTGCAACTACAACCCATCATCATGATGCTAGTACTAGTACAACTAGTAGTGGTGGTGATATTCTCATTATCAGCAGCAACAATTGCAGCACCAACAGAGCAGGAGCTGAAAAATCTTGGCTGCACAAACCGTTGTGGGAATTTAGACATCTCATACCCATTCGGCATGGAAGCGAATTGTTATCTGAATGATAATTTTTTCATTAATTGTAGTGAATCCCAGCCATATTTATGGGACACTAATATCGGTGTTACAAATATATTGCATGAGGAGGGTGAGTTACGTATCACGAATTACATATCCCGTCGATGTTATAACCAGTCTGGTAACCTATTACCAAACGACTTATATTCATGGCTGACCCTTGCCAAATTCTCCATATCGAATAGCAAGAACAAGTTCACTGCTATTGGTTGTGACACATTGGGATCTGTCCAAATGGCTGATAAAAATGGTTCTTCGGTTGTTGCAACTGGGTGTAACTCACAGTGTAGCAGCTACGACAGCGTTCCTAATGATGGATCTTGCTCTGGAATTGGTTGCTGCCAGACCACCATCCCAAAAGGAGTCGGCCAGATCGAAGTTTTTGTGAATAGCTTCTCCCATCATGTGAATATAACTTACTTCAATCCCTGCAGCTATGCTTTTGTGGTTGAAGATGGTGCGTTTCATTTCTCCACAACTTACCTTAAAGATTTTAATTCCATGGAGGTGCCGATATTGCTGGATTGGGGAATAGGGGATAATGAGACATGTGAAGAAGCTAAAAAAAATCAGACAAGTTATGCATGTGGAGATAATAGTGATTGTTATGAGGCACAAATTGGTCTTGGGTATATCTGCAAGTGTTCCAAGGGTTACGAAGGGAACGCGTACATCTCAGATGGTTGCAAAGGTTAGTAGTATCCATTTATCTAGCTTCATATTGATCTTGTTCGGATTCAATTACTTTTGATTCTATATATATTGCTTTTGTGATGCTTTAATTTATTGATTGAGCCCTCTCTCCTCTGTTTTGATTGTTTTGCAGACATAGATGAGTGTGCAGATCCAAATCTCAACCAGTGTGTAGAGGAAAGCAAATGCTTAAACACGCCTGGGAATTATACGTGCTATTGCCCCAAGAGATATCACGGTGATGGCAGAACAGATGGAACACGTTGCACTGCTGGTCGAGTTCTTGTGCTTCAGATTGTGATTGGTAATGCCATATATGTCAAAAGTAAAATAAATAAAGTACGACATCTAATTCACATAATTAATGAATTTGGAAGAATTTACTTGTAACCTATATCCCCAATTGGATCCACATCCTTTTATACTCCAGTAACTTAAAAGAATATTTAAAATTATTAACAGGGTAATGCTATATAAATTAATAAATTTTACAAATTTATCTAACTCACTCATATGATACATATCATATTATTTCAATGGGTATGCTTCAGATTTTAAAGTTTTATTATTGCATGTTACATTATTAGTAATAAAAAAAAATTGTAAAATTTGTAAGTTTATATGACATTATTTATATTAATATCGTGAGTCATATAATTTTCTTTCTGTGCTTAGTTTCAAATCAATATATCGGCAAGATATTTATAGTCTTTGTTACTTAAAATGCCTTATTTGAAATATAGGTATTGCCATTGGTGCTTTGACTGTTTTGGTGAGTAGCTCCTGGTTGTATTGGATTTTCAGCAAAAGAAAGCACATGAAGCTTAAAGAAAAGTTCTTCAAGCAGAATGGTGGATTAATGTTGAAACAACAACTCTCTAGACTAGAGAGACCGACTCGAGAAGCGATCAAAATCTTTACTTTAGAAGAGCTCAAGTGGGCTACCAACAACTATGATGACAATAGAATTGTTGGCAGAGGAGGTTTTGGAACAGTTTATAAGGGAATTCTAGTAGATAACACAACAGTGGCCATCAAAAAATCGCAAATTATGAATCAAAGTCAAATAGAGCAATTCATCAATGAGGTGGTCGTGCTATCACAGATCAATCACAGGAATGTGGTCAAACTCTTAGGTTGTTGTTTGGAAACTCAAGTCCCTTTACTCGTCTATGAATTCATCACCAATGGCACTCTCTTTGAGCATATACATAACCACATCAAGGCATCTAATCTGTCATGGGAGAATCGGTTGCGAATAGCTGCTGAAACGGCTGGAGTATTGTCATATTTGCACTCTGCCGCATCGGTTCCTATTATTCATAGAGATGTTAAGTCTACGAATATACTCTTAGACGATAACTACATTGCCAAAGTGTCGGACTTTGGAGCATCAAGGTTGGTTCCACTAGACCAAGATCAATTAGCAACGGTGGTGCAAGGAACTCTTGGATACTTAGACCCTGAATACATGCTCACAAACCAATTAACAGAAAAAAGTGATGTTTACAGCTTTGGAGTAGTGCTTGTGGAGCTAATCACCGGAAAGAAGGTGTTGTCATTTGACAAGCCAGAGAAGGAGAGGAGTCTAGCTAGGTATTTTCTTTCCTGTATGAAAAATGATCGATTGTTCCAAGTTATTGATGAACAAATAGAAATTGAAGGAATTGTTGAAGAGCTCACAGAAGTAGCTAATATTGCAAAGAGGTGCTTAATAGTAAAAGGAGAGGAAAGGCCTACTATGAAGGAAGTAGCAATGGAATTGGAGGGGTTGATCAACAAAAAGATGATGAAGCATCCATGGGTTAAAATTGATTTGAATGGTGAAGAGAGTGAGCACTTGCTTGGTGGGAAGCTAAGTGGGTTTGAGTTAGATTGTACTACTAGTAGTAGTAACACAACAACAATTGGGTACGATAGTGTGAGGGAACATATGATGTTGCCAACGGATGGTGGGAGGTGATTTTTTTGTACTGTTGAGTCCACAATGATAACAAATTAGGTGATGGTTTGTTATTACTGTCTTTTTTGTTTTGTAAAATTATGTGCCTACATTAGATCGTTTCGGTTTAATTTACATTTTCATATGTAATTTTTTATTAGTGTAATCTATTATTCAAATACATCAATATATAGAGGAATAATTTCATAAATAAATAACAAGTGATGACAGTAAGTATAAATTGATGGAGTGCAACTAAGAGTTGATTTGGTGGTTGGGTTTGTCTCTTGTACGCTACGTGGATTGGGCTAGTTTGGTCTGAGTCCTATTTTCGTGATTTGATTTGTTGATCTTTTAATCTCAATATGTGGATCATCCATGAAAAATTAAATTGATTAGATAATTATAGTAATATGAATTTATCATATCTGTCTTCACTGAAATAGATGTCAAGTATAATTTTGAAACAAATTGTTTGATTATTAATCTGACTTTTTTATGAATGATTTATACACCAATAAAATTAATAGATCAAATCATTAAAATGAGGCTCCGTGGTTGACCTACGGCCCAAACTGAATAGAGGATTAGGGAGAATGGTAAATTACATAATTGATCTCTATAGTTTGAACAAAATTTCACTTTAATTTTCATAATTTTAATCTCAACAATTTAAATATCATATTTTCATATCCATTTTAATACGATTCGAATGTCATTTGTCATTGTTGTTTTGCATAGAAAACTAACATTTTCATTGACAGATGCATGTTAACAATTCCCTCTCATAAAATAAAAATTGTCATTTCTTTTTCTTTTTTTCCATTTGAATATTAACAGATAATGATAGTTTTTTTTTTTTTTTTGGACCAGCAACAGATAATGATAGATGGAGTACGTTGGAATCAAAATGAAAAGTATATGGACAAAATTGATAAAATTATAATTACAAAAACTAAAGTGAAATTTATATAAAATTATAGGAACCAATTGTGTAATTTATCTCAAATAATAATAATTATAAAAATAAAAAAATAATTAAAAAAAAAAAAGAAAAGAGAAGAGGAAAGGATCTTCTAGGTAAGTGTCTAGTAGATGAGTAAGAAATACATCGCACTCAAAGAAAATTGGACTATCTGGTGAAGGGCGTAACTATAATATATATATATATATATAAAGCAAATCGGAAAGAAGTCAAGTCCGGCAAGCTACTTGATCAATCTTTTTGTCACGTGTAATCTGAGAAATACAAATAAATTTCTTTTTTTTTAAGTAATAATAATTTGAAGGGAGAATTTTACTATACACTCTCCTATCATATGCACTCTTAAATTATATTATTTTCTTCTTTAGTTGTAATTAATTTTCTTCTTTAATTATGACTCATAAAATTTTTAATTGTATCTTATGTGTTGTTCAATTATGATTTTTTTTTTTTAATTATAACTCAGAAAATATGAAATTATATAATTTATTTCTACGGTAAACACTGGCGTTCCAAATTTGAAGATTGTTGAAAGGTAACCTAGAAAGTAGTTTAATCTTTTTTAACCTGGAAATCTAACAAAAACAATAATAAATTCATAATAATTGTATAGCCTCACATAACCTCTGGAAGATACCTTTTGAACAACAATGGATTAGGAAACTGTTTTTGAGGAAGGAGACACAGAAAAGATAGGAAAAGAGTCTTGCACATTCCAGACAAAACCAAGCCAATCAACCATTCTTACACTCTCTCGATCATATTATCATACACTTGGTGTGCCTTTTTTACCTCTATGCATCACTCAAGATAGTTCTTAACAAGGCAAGCCAAGAAAAATGTTTTAATGGATTTTTTGAGGTAGGCATCTATACTCTTCGATTGATGTGATTATGATTAATGGATTGCCTTATTAGTTTTTGAATTATTTTTTTTTTTATATATTTTTTAACTTTTTTTATTTTTATTTTTAATGTTAGTGATTTTGAAGCATTTTTATCCCTTAACAATTGCTATTTTTCCTATTTCATCCTTAGATTTTGGTTTTGGTATACTTAGTTCTTAAAGTTTTAATTTCTGTTAATGTGATTCAATGACTATACAAATCGATAATTGCGAAGCCTAATTTGATGGAAAAAAAAATTTGTTATTTTAGAATTTGAATAACTTATCATATCATAAAATATTCATTTTTCTTTTTAACTTAAACAAAATATATCCTACAACCAATTTAATAGGTGTTTGATTATATGATTTAAAATATAGAATTTAAATTGTTAAAATGAAGGAATATTTACCAATAAATCCTATCTCACAAACTGTTATACCAATCAGTCCTCACTTTATACTTTTGTTCCGGTAAGTCCTACTGGTGGGAAGATTTGTTCCCTTCTGATCCTTTTTTCCATTTTTTTCTTTACTAGTGGACAATTGTACCCTTTTTTTTGATTGGAAACTTTTTTTGCTCACATTTGGCAGTTTGAATGGAATGTTCACTTATGTGTCAGCCATCACGGGTAGGGTTTTGTGTCGTTTGAGTTTGGGTGTCTGTGGACGACTGTGTGGCAGCTTGATAGAGATATCATTTCCATCGGCGGGACGCCGTTGTTATGAAGGTACGTTCCCTTATGACGACTATGTGTCTGTGTGGCATACATAGCAGTTTAGTCGCTGACACATCCGTCTTTTGTCGTTGTGTGGATGCGTTTCCATGTTTTGTTTATTTACCTGGTATGTGGGTTGTGTGTTTCGCGGGGGGTTGTGTGTTGTGTTTTGGGATGGGTGTGGGTTGTGTGTGTTTGTGACTCTGTATTTATTGATATGTGCATTTTACTTCTGTGTGGGTTGTGTGACTGTGTGTTTTATTGCATCCTATTTTGTGATTGTATCTACTTGTTTTTCCGTTGTGATGGAGACACATGTAATGTTGTGTCACGTAACCCACTAATGCCTCAAACTATGGAGGTGCCACACACTCCTACCATACACATCACACACTAGAGACTAGAGCAAAAAATGATTTAGTGTCCTTTCATGTTGCGTGGCACCCACAACTGTGCACTACAAGAATTTACACATTTGGCGACCACTTTTGCCGACCAAAAAAATTTTGGTCGCAAAAAAATGACATTTGGCGACCAAATATTAATTAGTCGTGAATGATCATTATTTTTGGCGACCAAATATTATTGGTCGCAGAAGGTTATATTTTGGTGACCAAAAAAAGAGTTGGTCGCAGAAAGTGGTATGCTTTTGGCTACCAACTACAAATTTGGTCGCGAAAGGTGACATTTTTTTTAGCGACCAAAAATTTGGTCGCCAAAAACTTATTTTCAGCAACTAAAAAAAATTTGTCGCCAAATTAGCACTTTTAGCGACTAATATTTTAGTCGCCGTTGATTGAGATTTGGCAACTAAAAAAATTTGTCGGCGAAGGATACATTTTCTGCGACTAATCTGGTATTTTGGTTGCCAAAAATTTGGGAGGGAAATTTGAAACTTGGGGGGGGGGGGATTGAAATTTTTTATCTTTAAAATCTGTTAGCTCACACATTTTCATTTTCTCCTCTCTCATCTCTCTTTGAAATAGGTGCGAGACAAGCGAACAAACAACACCGAACCACTTTCTCTCTCTCGTCTTTGCGTTCGATTCGAACCCTAGGCACATTGGATCAATCATTCGGAGTCTCTCTTGGATCTTCAATCAACTTATACATACACAGAAGAACAGAGAGATAGATAATAGAGAGGGAGAGAGAGAGAGAAAGAGAGAGATTGTAAGCTAATGGCGGAACACTCTGATTTAGACCAGCTCCTTGATAGTAAGAAATTCAATCTCTCCCTCTCTCTCTCTCTCTCTCTCTCTCTCTCTCTCTATGTATATGTATATACATGTATATGTATGCATTTACATGAGTTCTAATCACCATTGAATCATTTCAGGCGCTTGGATGATTTCCAAAATCTCAATCTTACTTCTTCTGTTCAAACTCAAAGGTATTACTCTCTCTCTCCTCATATACATATACATATATGTATACGTATACGTATACGTATATATAAATATGTTGATAGCTTTGCCCTTTGATTTCAGGAGTGGAGATGGCGAAGTGAAGAAACATGAGAGTTCTATATATGCATTTTGGTCGCAGTATATATAGTTTTGGCAACTAAAATATTTTAGTCGCTGAAAGAAAAATAAAAACTATTTTTTATCTTTCGCGACCAAAAGTTTGGAATTATGAATCAAAGTCAAATAGAGCAATTCATCAATGAGGTGGTCGTGCTATCACAGATCAATCACAGGAATGTGGTCAAACTCTTAGGTTGTTGTTTGGAAACTCAAGTCCCTTTACTCGTCTATGAATTCATCACCAATGGCACTCTCTTTGAGCATATACATAACCCCATCAAGGCATCTAATATGTCATGGGAAAATCGGTTGCGAATAGCTGCTGAAACGGCTGGAGTATTGTCATATTTGCACTCTGCAGCATCGGTTCCTATTATTCATAGAGATGTTAAGTCTACGAATATACTCTTAGATGATAACTACACTGCAAAAGTGTCGGACTTTGGAGCATCAAGGTTGGTTCCACTAGACCAAGATCAATTAGCAACGGTGGTGCAAGGAACTCTTGGATACTTAGACCCTGAATACATGCTCACAAACCAATTAACAGAAAAAAGTGATGTTTACAGCTTCGGAGTAGTGCTTGTCGAGCTAATCACCGGAAAGAAGGTGTTGTCATTTGACAAGCCAGAGAAGGAGAGAAGTTTAGCTAGGTATTTTCTTTCCTGTATGAAAAATGATCGATTGTTCCAAGTCATTGATGAACATATAGAAATTGAAGGAATTGTTGAGGAGCTCACAGAAGTAGCTAATATTGCAAAGAGGTGCTTAATAGTAAAAGGAGAGGAAAGGCCTACTATGAAGGAAGTAGCAATGGAATTGGAGGGGTTGATCAACAAAAAGATGAAGAAGCATCCATGGGTTAAAATTGATTTGAATGCTGAAGAGAGTGAGCACTTGCTTGGTGGGAAGTTAAGTGGGTTTGAGTTAGATTGTACTACCAGTAATACAACAACAACTGGGTACGGTAGTGTGAGGGAACATATGATGTTGCCAATGGATGGTGGGAGGTGATTTTTTTTGTACTGTTGAGTTCACAATGATAACAGATTGGGTGATGGTTTGTTATTACTGTCTTTTGTGTTTTGTAAAATGATGTGCTTACATTAGATCGTTTCGGTTTAATTTACATTTTCATATGTAATTTTTCATTATTGTAATCTATTATTCAAATACATCAGGATATATAGGAATAATTTCATAAATAAATAACAAGTGATGACAGTAATTATAAATTGATGGAGTGTAACTAAGAGCTGATTTAACGGTTTGGTTTGTCTCTAGTGCGCTATGTGGATTGGTCTAGTTTGGTCTGAGTCCTATTTTAATGATGAATTTGGGTGCACAACAAGTACTATTGTGCAACTTTATGAGCTTATTTTGAGATCTTTTTTAATAATCTGAACCGTTCACATTTTAGAGTACATCAATTATAACATACTTGTCAAAAATCAAGTTAATCAAATGTCGTTAACCCTGTCATCAACTCACATTTGTATCTTGAAAAATAAATGACACTGTGATTTAAATTTTTTAAATAAATACAAATGTGATTTGATCCGTTGTTCTTTTAAACCTCAATGTGTGGTCCATCCACAAAAAAATTAAATTGATCTTTTAATTATAATATCGTGATTTTATCACGTCTGTCTCCAATGAAATAGATGAAAAGTATAATTTTGAAACAGATTGTTTGATTATCAATCTAATTTTTTATGAATGATCAGTACACCAATAAAATTACTAGATCAAATCATTAAAGCAAGGGTCTATGGTTGACCTGCGGCCCAAACTGAATAGAGGACTAGAGAGTATGGCAAATTACATCATTGATCTCTATAGTTTGAACAAAATTTCACTTTAATTTTCGTAGTTTTAGTTTCAACAATTTAAATACCATATTTTCATTTCTATTTTAATATGATTCTTCTGTCATTTGTCATTGTTGTTTTGCATAGAAAACTAACATTTTCGATTGAAATGTGCATGTTAGCAATTCCCTCTCATAAGATAAAAATTAATAAATCTTAATAGAATTTTATTTTGTCTCTATAATTTCACAAATGTCATTTTTCTTTTTTTTTCTTTTTTTCCATTTGAATATTAATGGATAATGATAGATGGAGTATTGGAACCAAAATGAAAGTGTATGGACAAAATTGATAAAATTATAACTATGAAAATTAAAGTGAAATCTATATAAAACTATAAGAACTAATTGTGTAACTTATCCCAAATAATAATAATATTTTCTTTTTCTTTTTCTAAATAAAAAAAGGGGAAGAGGAAAGGATCACTACAACATTTTCTTAGTTTAGTGACATTTGAAAGTGCCACAAACTATTCTTCTAATGACATTTTTTGGTCTTGTGACATTTTGAACAAGTGCCACTTCTATCGGTGCCACGGTAGATACGAGTGCCACGGTAGATACTTGTAAGTGTCACTGCACCATCATGGCTAAAAACTTTCAATGACATTTTAATGTCATGGTAGATATTATTTATGGCACTATCAAGCGTCATTAAAAAAAGAGTTAGTGACACTTATAAGTGTCATTACACCATCAAGACTAAAACCTTTCAGTGACACTTTAATGTCATGGTAGGCACTATTCGTTCTTATTTAGATCCTTTGTTGGAGATACTGTGGAATATATTATCATGTGCGTCATACTCCCTTCTAAGATCTATCTTCATGCTTTCATATACAGGTGTCATTCTGCACTTATCTGATGTGTTGATATTTTCTCCTCCAATTGTATTGATAGTAGGATGGTTTTTTGATGGTGATCCATTTTGTTCTTCCTACCCTTCTCTTTTTAGTGGCATGCTTAAATCTTATTGAAACTTACCTCAGGTGTTCTCAGCGTTTGGCTTTGTCCACAAGATTGTAACTTTTGAGAAGGCTGCAGGTTTTCAGGTGTGATGTCGAAAATTGCCTTCTTCTTCTTCTTCTTCTTCTTCTCTCTCTCTCTCTCTCTCTTTTTTTTCTTGTATTTTTTTGGTATCTGCATTGGTCTTTCTGTACTTTTCTAAATTTGCCACCTAGCTTTGCATGTTTGAAGGCATTGATCCAATTCAGTGATGCTGAGACTGCAGCTGCAGCAAGAGATGCATTAGATGGAAGAAGCATACCTAGGCATGCTATCTTTTATTCGTATCCATCTTAATTGCTTTCCCCGCTTTTTTACGATATTGCTAAGTTTAGAACTGTGGAAGTTCTCACTATGGTGGATTTCATATTTGGTATGTAACAAATTTCAGGTACTTGCTTCCAGACTATGTTGGTTCATGCCACTTGCGCATCTCATATTCGGCGCACACAGACTTGAATAGTAAGTTCCAATCTCATCGAAGCAGGTAATAATGAATCCAGCTGGCCAGTAATTTGATGTTTTTTATTCTGTATTTGGCTATAATCAACGCTTGCTCTTTCATCATTATGCTTCTATGATTATGATTTTTGGTGATTGAGGTCTTGCTAATTGATGCATCTGGTTTTTGTTAACTAGGGGTTAGTCAAGCTCGGCAGCTAGAACACAGATGTGTTTTTCATGGCCTCTTAGTAATTTTCTTAATCTTATTGTAGTTGTTTAATGTGTTCCTGTAATTTCACTGTAGTTGAAATTTTTTGGATCTCATTAGTTTATATCTAGTAAATGCATTGAACGAACACATCTCACCTTTTGTCTTATTTATTCAGTTATTCGTAAATGGCAAATACCCTCGTCATATCTTACTACAGATGCTTTACAATCATGTTGGACCTCCACTGTCAATGACACGAAGTTTCAGTTGCACTTTTTGTCTTTTGTTCTTGTTTTTTAGTTTGTGTTGTTCATGTGTCTTTTTAAACATACATCTTATCTGCAGCCTGTATTCAGGGATGGCAACAGGTTGGGTATGAGTCAGGGGGGTATACCCTTCCCCGCCTCATATAAAAAAAAAAAAATTGCAAATAAAAAAATTATGTAGTGACCTTCTTGAAGACAAACATGCTTTCACAAAGTAAAATTTCCTCTTCAAGCAACCTAAAACAATAAAATTGCAAATGTAGAACACTTTATTTGTATTTTTTTTCTTTTTTCTTTTATTTTTTTTCTATTTCCTCTATTTTTTTAGTAACCAAAAGAATTCTAAAAATATTGAAATTCAAGAGTCTCTAACAATCAAGAAAATCATTGATGCATTAGTGGAAAAAATAAAATACAAATGAAGCTGGAAATCAACATTGCCACCACCTCTGTTGACTTGTTCCACCATTGTTCTCTTTGAGGACCCATTCATTACCCACCTACTGTGTGGTTCAAGCAGTCCTCCTCCAACCCAACTTTGACTCGGAGATGTAAATCACCAATCTCTAAACCAATTGAGCTTCTTTTTTAAAACAAATGGTGTAATGTCTCCCATCCTGAATTGAAACGATAATGTTTGATTTGGGCTACCCTTGTGACTTTAAAACACGCTGTTATTAGGAAGAGATGTGAACTCGTTTATATAGCCCAAGAAGTTTTCAGAAGTCAGAACCACATGTCCTTGTGTGGTGTGTGATGATGCATTTAACTTTGCACAAAAAATGGAACAAAAAATATGTCGAAAGCTGGGGACAAGAAAGCAAAGACTTCTGAAGTAGCAAGGGAAGCTTCTCTGGATCCTCTGGCGCATAAGCTCCAACAACAAAGGTGATGGTTTGTTTCCTGCTTGGCTTAAGAAAAAGAAGTTGCAATACATCACATTCATATAACATAGTTTAACAATATTAATTACAATATGCTGCATTCTTTCCTTAAGTAGTAAAAACAATGCTTAAAAAATTCATTTATATAGTTATGTCAACTATTAGGAACAGCAGTTTGATTTGTTGACCCCTGCCCTCCTTCCATAAAATCACTTGCATTTATAGCTGAGGTGAAACTAATTTCAAGAAAGTATTCTGTTTGAGGATACATCATAAACATATTGTTACTAAATGGTACACATTTGCGGAAGGCTTAGTTCTATTATTAACTTTAATGTTTTACTTGTGTAATGTGACACCTAGTGTGTTGTACAGATTGGAAGAATTTGATTAGTGACAAGTGTGCAGCAACTGTTATACTACTCAATTTGGAGTAGTTCTGGCTTATAAACAAAAAAAAAAAGGTTTGACTGGCATCCTAGCAACTGAGATCTCCTACTTGTTTCCTGTTCGACTTGTGCAAAATATGAAGCAATCTCAATATTGTTCAGAGTGATGATATCCTTGAAGTAGTTGATTTGCAAGTTTAAAAAATCTAATAGTTCTTGTTTAATGGGCAATCCTCTAACTTCAAAACTAATTCAAATTATTATTTTTATCCCCTTCTGATGAAACCTTGTTACTGATGAAGTAGATAATACAAAACACTACGTAGTTTTATTTGAGATAGTTTTAAGATATGTTGCAATATGTCATGTATTGATCACTAGTTTTTCTATTTGAAGACAGGCTTTAATCCTTGCTCGACTTCTTGGTCAGCGGATTGACTTGGACAACATAAAGGTTTGGACATTGAGATGATATACTTGTATATCTCCACTTTCAAATCAAGTATGACCAAATTTATATGTAGTTTCTACTTTAATCTTGTAGGTTGAAAGCTTGTATCCTGAAGAAATGGGACCAAATATAATGCATGTTGAAGATTTTTTGGTGAATGGCCTTCCACTGCTTGATAAAGGCATCCAAGAGAGGGTTGAAAATTGATGAGCAGAGCAGCAGTCATGTGGGTAGATGAGCAAGATGGGGAAGCAATTGAGCTTGCCTTCAGTAAGAAGAAAATTGAAGCAATGAAGAATGGCCCAGCAAATTGACAGCAGAACATAACAGAACAAAGCAAATCTGTGGACAGAACATAACAGAAATGTGATATAAGGCCAGAATCAAGGCCAGAATCAATCATGTCTGTTCAAGGCTAGAATCAATCAAATCTGTGGGTTCAAGGCCAGAATCAATCATGTCTGTTCACGAACCAGACGAGCACCCTCCCCAACATATTTCTTAACAAGTTTACGAAGCTAAATTGTACAAGACTACTTGGCAGTATAAGCATTTTTGGGAGGATTAAATATTTTTGGATGGATGTGTATGGATAACAAATATTATTAGTTTTATTTGTTGATAGCTACGCATGGATAACAAATAGTTATGTTTCAAATTGTTATGCTAGATGGATGTGACTTGTGAATGAAAACTTAGAATAGTTGTATTGTGT